CAATCAGGTCTCCCCGCAGCCTTCTCTTCTCCAGGCTGAACACCCCCAACTCTCCCAGCCTGGCCTCAGAGCAGAGGGGCTCCAGCTCTCGGATCATTTTAGTAGCCCTCCTCTGGCCCCGCTCCAACAGCTCCATGTCCTTCATCCAATCATAGAATCATAGAATCGCTTTGGTTGGAAAAGCCCTTTAAGATCATCAAGTCCAACCTTTAACCTAACCCTGCCATCCCACCACTAAACCATGTCCCTAAGCGTGAGGGTTTACTGAGGTTTAAACCGAGGGGAGACTCAAAAACCAAGATCCACAACCCAGAGCTCGAGGAAGCTCGGCCCGAAGCCGAGCACCATCCAACAACCCCTCTCACTGTCAGCTTGGCATCCCCCAGGGCAGCTGCATGTCCGGTTTTACTCAAATGTCGTCAGTGGATTGTGCTAATTAGACAAATTAATAGGGAAAAAAAATAAAATAGGATGTGCTCATGGAACCGTCCTTTCAATCTGAAATTCGTTGCCAATGGAAAAAAGGATCGCTTTTAGCAAGATTCAGGTTTACACACACGAGAGATTTATGTCCTTGAAGAGCAAATAACAAAAAAAAAAAAAAAAAAAAAAAAAAAACCCCCCAATTATAAAAAAAAAAAAACCAAATATTGTGGATGATCCAAAGTTCCTCTGCTCCTATCAGCTTGGGTGGGAATAGTTCAGATTCATAATGATGAAAAATAACGTGAGAGCAGCTGCTCTGGTGTTAAAAAATCCCCAACCTTGCCCCCAAGCCCCAGCGATGCTCCTCAGGACCATGAGAAAGCCCCTGGCTCTCACATTCCCTGCTGGGACAGGGACGTGCCCGTTGGGTGTTCCACCTCGAGCAGCAGGGAGGGCACATCCCGATATCGCGATATTGTGCTGTCGGCATGGCCGGTGCTGGACCAGCCCCAGAAACCCCCCAGAAAGAGCTCGCTCTCCCCACCCGGGGAGATGGGATGGGGATGCCTGCTGGACCGGAGCACCCCCAGGGTCTCCCCTCCTGCGACAGCACTGATGGGCCCTGGGGGTGGGGGGGCTGGGTGATAAATCCCCAAATACCAGAGCTGCGGGGGCAGGCTGGATGCTGGGAGCAAAGCTTGCCCGTGCCCGTGCTGCGCTGGGCACGTCGGCCGAGCATCCCCTGGCGAGGGAACGCAGACACCGCCACGTGCAGCCAGGTGTTTGCTAGTGGGACCGTTATCCTCTGATAAGTTTGTCCTGATCATTTAATAAACCATTATATATAAACCAATAAATATTAAACAAATACATTTTTTACTTTATTCTGGTTTGCTTGATTTTACCCTGAAGTTGCTTAAAGCTCAGCACTAGAAGTAACGCAAACACCTAAAATAAATCCTTATCTAAAAATCCTCCTAAACCCTGCAGTCCTCACGCTTTTGGGGACAGTCTGGGCAACGCCATAGGGTGCATCTTTACAGACCAAAGCAATGATAAAAAGCCCCGTGTTCAAAACGCCCCGTTCCCCTCGCTGCCCCCCGGGCGGGCGGTACCTAGGTTGAGTTTGGTGCAGTTGCTGTGGGTGTCGCTGGTCACCGGGCACTTGTAGACATCTCCCGTCTTCTGCTGGCCGTTGGTTTCGTAGGGAGCTCCCACCACCAGCCTGCGGGAAAGAGGGATCTGCCAGTGCCCAGAGGCTGGGCGGGAGGCAGGGGAGCAAACCCATGGCCACCGCCGGAGGGGAACCCACCCCAGAAAAAAGGATTCCCCAGCCCAAGCCCCTGGCTGGTGGCTCAGAAGGGGTCAGGAGAGGGTCCTGTGCTGGGCGGACACTGTTGTTCCCCTGACCTGACCCGGCGCAAGCAACAAAAGCCTTGTTTTGCCTTTCCCTTCCCACAAGAGCCGGCAGCGTTAAGCCGGGGACGATGACTCACTGCTGCTTGGAAGCGGTGGCCACCAGATGCAACCGGGGCAGGAATGGATCCCTGGCAGCGAGCGAGCTCTGCAAAACCATCAGACAGCATGGGGAGGAGCGGGGGACCCCCATCCCCACCTCAGCTCTGGTGGCACCAGCACCCTCAGCATCCGTCTGAGGTCCTGTGGTGGGCATGGCTGGCCCCGGGGAGGGGGGAACGGAGGTGCCCCTTCCCACCGCTGCTTCAGGCAGGAACCTTTTCGTGCCAGGACTGTCTTCAGGATTTGGATGTGTATGAAGGAGCCCTGCCTAGCCATACCCAAAGGAACAGCAAGCAGCCGGTATAGCAGGAACAGCAGCTCACACTGGGGTCCATGGGGAATTTTCCTCACTAAAGAGATGAAAAAGTGAATTTCCAGGAGTTTTGCTCTGACCTTGGGTTGTTCACTTATGAGCAGCCTGGAGCGGTACGTTAGGATCCTCAGCTCTGTAGTGGGTGAGGGCTTTGGGCTGTTCTTTAACATAAGAGGAGCTGATAAAAACACATAGATCCACCAAGGGTGCAGGATGTATCTGGGACACCACAAGCATTTTTCTCACTTTTTCTGTGGACTTGACCAGAATAGTACAAAACAGCAAACCAGAAGAGGAGGAGAGCAGGACCTGAGGAATTTGGCCCTTCCTTCCAGGCTAGTTCAAAAATACCCCGAACCACGAGTTATTGGCGTCTTCCAATCTCAACGTGCTAGCCTCAAAATAAATCTTTTTGCTTTTAAAATCCTATCGGTGGATACAACCGTCCAAGTCTGGATCGCCAGATAATCAGGATCTCTTTTGTTCTGCACCACTACCCAGCAGCTGGCAAAGCGACCATCCCCGGCACAGATGGTCCCTGTTAGAGCAGAAATGGCCATTTTAAAAAAAAAAAAACAAACCAATGCTGCTTCTACAAAGACACTAAGTGCTCATTCTTTTTATTCCACCACTATAAAACAGAATTGCTCACCAAATTAAAAGCTCCAAAATCGAAGCAGGGTTTAAGGATTCTCGTGGAAATACTTCCCGTCTTACAGCTTTGTTGCTAACAAGGAGATTAATTAGGGGGAAATAATAACCATCTGGAACTGCCCTCAACAGCACCCAGAAGCTCAGGGAGATCTGGGACCTCCTCCCTGACCTGTACGAGGAGTTTGCTCCTCTCCCTCTGCCGCGCTATCGATGCCGTTTGCTCAGGGGCAGAGAGGGAAGGAGGGTGGAAGAAGGGAAATGTTGGGAATGAGCGGGGAGGGGGGGAGAGGAAGACCTTGAAGGTGAAAAGAAACGAAGGGTGACACACCTCGGAAGATTGTGTTCCCATATTTTAGTTCTTCATTCCAATGGAAGAGTTTAACCTAAACGGGATTTAACATTAACTGCTCAGAGCAGCTCCACCTCGACGTGCCCCCCCACCTTGCAGCAGGAAAATCCCAGCTCGACTTTCTCATTAACTAATATTCACATGTTAATATTATCACACTGCCCGTTAATAAATATTCCCGAACGCCAGCGGTTGTTAGGGCAAAGCATCTCTTTCAAACGCAAGATGATGACGAGGGCAACCCACCCGTTCCCTGCATCAGGGCTGGAAGCTCAAAGCAAGCCCAAATATTTACAGACGCTGCCAGGAATGCAAAGGGGTTGAGAAGCTCATGAAAGTAAATTTTTTGTCTCCCAAAGACAATGGCATTGTTTTCCCTTTTCGATTAAATTTAAATGATTAATTAGGTGAAGCTGTCAAATTCTCATGGAAACTCGCAGCTCGGGGAAAAGGTTTCTCCAGCTGTTTGGAAGGTGCCGGTTGCAGGGATGCCGTCAGCATTCCCTGAGGTCGGCGCTCAGAGACGCCGCTCTCCGCACCAGCTCACGGGCTGCTCGCAAACCTCTTCCTTTCCTTTGTGGTTTGTAAACCTGCGCCCTAAAGGTGGGTTTTTTCCCTAAAAAAAAGTCCCATCCTACATCCCCCAAATCCAACTGGCGCATCCTTGCCACGGCAGGGAGCCATCCCCTGCTCCGTCCTGGTTCTCCCCCTCCCCGCGCCCCCTTGGGTCACCCCAAAATCTCCCCCTTTGTGCTCCCTGCAGGGCTGCAATCCCCCCCCCCGGCCACGGCCCGATCCTAAACAAGCAAAGCCCTCTGCAAAGAGCGAAGCGGCAGGCCCTTGCGTCACAGCTTGGCTAATAAATGAAGCTTTAAAAGAAAATAAGAACCAAACAAGCCCGCCCTCGCCTTCCTTTTCATGCGCCTCTTATGGGGAAAACAAAAGCAAAAAAAGGGATTAAATGTGAAAAGCGCAGACCGCTCAGAGCAACATGTCTGAGGACATATTTTTAACTTTCATCCTGGGGAGGAAAAAAAAAAAAATAAGTGGGCCGGGCCGGCTGTGTCCGCCACCGCAGGCTGGGCGAGTGT